GTTCGGAGTTTAGGGTTCAGGGTTTAATAGGGTTTAGGGTTCAAGGTTCAGGTCCGGGTTCAGAGTTCAGGGTTTAGGGTTCAGATTTGGGGTCTTTAGAGGAGAAGTGCAAGGTTCGGCTTGCTTAAAGATTACGGTTTAGGGGTAGTTATCAACTTATACGGAACGTAAAACGTTATACACCGCTGTAAGGCTGGAGTTACATTAAAGGATATGATTTCTGAGTATGGGGTTCGAGGTTTGGAGGTCGTTCGGAGAGGGCTCTGAGGGTTATATGATGCTTCTTATTTATTGTTATACAAAGAATAGAACATGTTGTTTTATCAGGCGGATATCAGAACATAATCCCGACCCCTACATAGGTCCAGGGCTCGCGTGTCGTTTCGGCCAGAGGTTCCCAGAGGCTCAGGCTAGGGTTTAGGGTTGAGGGTTGAGGGTGTAGGGTTTAGGGTTAAGGTCTTGGGGTTTTAGGGTTTAGGGTTTGGTCTTTCCTGCAGCTCAGGATCAAAGCAGCCTCAAGCTATGCCTTAAACCCCAAACTCCCTAAGCCCCAAACCCTCAACCCTCCTTCCTGAAAGAACTATAAAACCACATCGTAGCAAGGAGTCCTAAAAATGGAGGTTTCTCAGAGTAGTGCACTGGTATATAAGCCCTAAGCCCTGAACCCTGAACTCCCTAAACATCCCAGAGCCCTAACTCTACGCGCTAAACCCCCAAAACCAGGAAACCCTACACCCTAGAACCCTAAACCCCTAAAGCGATCCCTTGTTTTCGGATTCCCTTTAAAGGAACCCTTTAAAGGATCCCCTTAAAGGAACTCAAAACCCTGAACTTCTCCATGCTTTCCATTCGTGCGCCCTCCGGGGACGAAGTGGTGGCCATCGACGCGGGGGAGTTGCAAGATCTCGCTCCGGGAGGCTCCTGGGGTTTAGGGTTTAGGGTGTAGGTCCTCTGTCTAGCAAAGGGGCCTTTTATAAGAAACGGTTTAGGGTTTAGGGCTGGGGGTTTAGAATAGGAAAATTTAAACCGAATTCCTGTAGGGGTTTCTGTTTGAGGGTTAGTATAGCGGGTATCACTGCATGAGTTCGACCGGGGTTTGGGGTATATGATACTCCATGGAGGAATGATAACCCTAATCCCTAAACCTTCCTAATCCCTAAACCTCAAACCCCCCTAAAGCCTAAACCCCAAACCCTAAGACTCGTAGTAGGGATTGTTGTTACTCGGGCTTGAGGTAATTTTTGTTCCATGGAGTTTCAATGTGTGATGGCTACAGAGGCTTACATAGTTTGGTAGAGTTTAACATCACGAAGACGTTCCAAAAGATGTTGTATTATATGCCCTTTCTGGTTTTATAAGGGGCTTGTAAAAGAAGTGCAAGGGGAGATGCAGTATTTAAGGTTGCGGTCGTACGGTTGATAATGTAAATCCTGCACTACCCATAATAAGGAATAGACCATAATTCCCATAGTTTAGGGTCCTTAAGGTAACCCTAAACCCTGAACCCTAAACCGTTAGGGCCCTTAACGTAATGCAGGATTAATGTCATCAACAGTAGTATGCAGGTTTTCGGGCGACTGCGTGGTTCTTCATTGGAGTTTCTACATAGGGCTGTTTGGCATCTAGGGGTTTAGGGCTTAGGGTTTAGGGTAGGTGTTCTTCGCTGCTTACATTGCAACAGCCTGGATAGTTCATACTACTGTTTATTGAAGGAGACACTTTGTGGGGTTTGGAATCGCGAGGCACCGCCACGTACTAAACCCTGAAGAAACCACGTAAACCCTAAATCCCTAAACCCTAAACCCCTAAATCCCTAAACCCTAAACCCTAAACCCTAAACCCTAAACCCTAAACCCTAAACCGAAACTTTACAGTATGCCCTAAACCCGACGCTAAGCCGTAAATCCCTGAACCCATGACCTCAAACCCCCAGACGCTTCAAAACACTGAACCCAAACTGCCCAACAAGTCCTAAACCCCTCCAAAAAAGTCCTAAACCCTAAACCCCCCCCAAAAAAAAATCCTAAACCCCTAAACCCTGAACCCGTCCGAACGGTAGTTTGGGTCTGCCCTCCCTGGGCCCGGGGAAAAAAACTCCAAACTTCGGTGCTGGCACATCGTGAAGTCGTCGAAACGGTTTCGGGTTTAGGGTTTAGGGTTTCGGTTTAGGGTTTTAGGGTTTAGGGTTTAAGGGTTTAGGGTGTAGGGTTTTAGGGTTTAGGGCTTAGGATTTGAGGATTTAAGGATTCTGGGTTCAAGGTTTAGGGTTTAGGGTTCAGGATTGAGGGTTGGGGTTCAGGATTTGTAGAGCCCTGCAAGCCTGAAAAGCTGTAAACAATCACAAACTGGGCTTTGGAGTACCTTACTTTAAGACTCTTTTCGGGACCTGCTTGAAGGAACCAGTATGAAATAAAAGTCTATACTTTTTTCTCCCTGGCTACTTCAAAGCCCAGCAAATGCAACGCCCTAGGCCCAAAACCTGGTTTAGCCAGACAGGCTTAGGCCCTAAAGACCCTCCTGTCAGAAAGAAATCCGCAGCTACGGGCTTAAAAGCAAAACCCTAAACCCTAAACCCTAAACCCCCAATCTTTCCGGTCATTCTATCATGGCTGTCCGCAATTTGAGATTCTGTAGGGTGCAGGGTCTCGGGGTTCCCTAAACCCTTAAACCCTTAAGCCCTAAACCCTCAAACCCTAAACCCTAAACCCTAAAACCATAAAACCCTAAACCCTAGGGTTTGGGGGCCCTCCCGATATGCCCAAGTCGGACTGCATGTATGGAGATGCATGGTGGCAGGGCGCTGGAAGCCGGCTCTTCAGAAACTGGTGCGATGGCCCTTTTCGGGGAATGAGTGCATGCCTAGTTTGAGCCTGCGACGTCTGTATCTGGGCTTTGGAGTACCATACTTTAATACTTTTTTGGGGGACCTGTTCCTTAAAGGAACCATTATAAGATAAAAGTCTATACTGTTTTCTCCCTGGTTACTTCAAAGCCCAGGTATGATTGCGGGCCATATCTTTTAAACCCCAGTCCTCTCTGCTTCGACGAGCAGAAGAGTCAGAAGAGAAGCCCTGGCTTCGTGGGCCGCTGGTGGTCTAGGGCGTAGCAGCAGTAGCCAACGGTTTAGGGTGTAGGGTTTAGGATTTAGGGTTTAGGGGTCACAAGAGGGATTAGAGAAGAAAGCAACAACTGTGATAAGCATTGTTTTTCAATCAAGAACTGCGACAGAGATGCTAGCCGCTGCGAAGTGTTCGTCTTCATCAGACTAGGAATACTCGCAGGTCACAAGATAGTCCCCCCTAAACCCTAAACCCTCTAAGATAGTTTCTAGCAATGGAGTTGAGACTTCATGGTCCGAAAACCGAAGTCAGTGGGTTCGCGCCTACCAGACGGTCCTTCCTATCGAAGGCTGCATGGCAGCAAGGGCAGCAGATACTTCTTGACGGTCGAAATGCAGCCGGTCGCCCGTCCGCCATTTCGATTACTTCTACCATGAAGTCGCAAAAAGTTGCTTGCACTTGGCTTCAGACGGTGCTGATGCTTGCATGGATGAGGCCGGCATGGATAAAGGTGGATGCGGTTGCAACGAATGCTGCGATCAGCTCTTGTCAGACGTCGGCGCAGTGGCTACGTGCACTGATGCTGGCGAGTAGGATGGCAATTGTCGTGCTGAGGCCTGACCTCGTGACATACTCCACACTCATGAGCTCATGCTCAAAAGCAGCGAAATGGGAACTTGCCATCAACCTGTTGGAAGATGTTGCTGCCGTCTCCTTGCAGGCTGACGTAACACTCTTAAACACAGCCATGCGGGCGTTATCGTTAAGCAGCAGTTGGGAACAGGTGCTGTTCTGGATGTGGGATCTGACACATCAGCGCCTTCAACCAGATGCTTTCACGTATTCTGCGGCGATGACTGCCTGTGAAGCCAAATCGGCGTGGCAGCAAGCACTCTTTTTGCTCCACAGCCTTGGAAAGGAGCGTCTGCAAGTCTCCATGGTGACTTCAAGTATTGCCATGAGCGCTTGCGAAAAGGCAACATGCTGGCAAAACGCATTGAGCCTGTCCACAGACATGCTACTAGACCAACTGCAACCAGACAGCATGATCTGCTCCTTGCTGTCAGCATCTTGTCAGAGGACGCTACAGTGGCAAGTGGCAACTGAAATCATCAGCAAGTCGCTCGACCGTGATTTGCAGGTGGACATTGTGACACATACCGGGAACATCAATGCCTGCGCACAAGCATGGTCTTGGCCTCAGGCTGTCTTGCTGCTGGAATTGACACAGCAGATTGCATTGCAGTTGGATGCTACAGCAATGAATGCGGCGATCGGATCTTGCCAGCGGTCGACACAGTGGCTGCATGCACTGACCCTGGCGAGTAGGATGGCAAATGTCGTGCTGAGGCCTGACCTCGTGACATACTCCACACTCATGAGCGCATTCTCAAGTGCGGAGAAATGGGAACTTGCCGTCAACCTGTTGGAAGATGTTGCTGCCGTCTCCTTGCAGGCTGACGTAACACTCTTAAACACAGCCATGCGGGCGTTATCGTTAAGCAGCAGTTGGGAACAGGTGCTGTTCTGGATGTGGGATCTGACACATCAGCGCCTTCAACCGGATGCTTTCACGTATTCTGCGGCGATGACTGCCTGTGAAGCCAAATCGGCGTGGCAGCAAGCACTCTTTCTGCTCCACAGCCTTGGAAAGGAGCGTCTGCAAGTCTCCATGGTGACTTCAAGTATTGCCATGAGCGCTTGCGAAAAGGCAGCATGCTGGCAAAGTGCTGCTGGCATATTGGGCAGCTTGCAGGTGAAAGTGCCACGAGTCGAGTTGCTGTCCTACAGCACTGTGGTCAGCTCCTTCGAAAAGGCTGCCCAGTGGACCCTGGCGACGCTCCTTTGCCACAATGCTGTTTTCGCTGATATACAGGGGGATATCATCATGCAAAGTGCACTCATCAGTGCCTGTGAGAAAGCAGGAAAGTGGAAGTTCGCCCTGGACGCCTGGTGGCAGCTTGGGATACTTTTTATAATTTTCTGTGCACGGCTACCAAACCCTAAACCCTAAACCCTAAACCCTGAACCCTGAACCCTAAACCCTATATCCTAAACCCTAAAACCCTAAACCCATTCAGTACTTGTAAATTAGACATCCCATGAAACAGCAATCCAGGACTTGATCTCCGAGCTTCCGTGACTGAGCTCTTGTTAGAAAGGTTTGGGATATAGGTTTAGGGTTTAGGGTTTAGGGTTCAGGGTTTAGAGTTTAGGGTTTAGGGTTTAGGGGTTTAGGGTTTAGGGGTTTAGGGGTTTAGGGTTTAGGGTTTAGGGATGTAGTGTATATGGGCTATATATTGCATATAGTGTTTATTATAGGCGTTTACGTCTTTACCTTGAAAACGGGAGTTGAGTTTTAGTATGTTTCAGTAACCATGGTTCTTTCGATGGCTGTTGTAACGGAGTCTATGAATTCGGATTTTGGGCTTTTGGGGTTCAGGGTTTAGGGTGTAGGCGTATTCGTTGTAGGGGAATAGAAGGGATACATGGTTAACATATGGCCTTGGTCATGAGGGTAGCTCTCAAATCAAACTCCTAACACTGCCCCCAACCCCTAACACTAAGTCTTCTACGAACGCCCTATAAGCATCCTGTCAGGACCCCGAACACCGATCAAACGCAAAAACCTTGTAATAGAAGCCATGAGCAAACAAGACAAAAAAAGCTGAACCCCCAAAAAAACGCAGCAAAGCACCAAAAGCACCCGACAAGAAGTCTTAACGATACCCTAAACCCTACCAGTGGCCCCAAACCCTACAAAATGGAAGGTTATACCCCTTATGGATTCCTGTCAAGGTGCCCCTAAACCCTATAGATCCCTTATTGGAACCCTTATAGACCCCTTTGAAGGAGCCCGCAAACCCAGTACTGTAGCTTTTCGGATCTCCACGTAAACTCTAAACCCCCAAGACCCTGAAGAAACCATTTAGTTCGGGAGCCTTTGAGGAGCCCTTTAATGTAAGTAAGCCGGATAGATCCTTTTAAAGGAGCCCTACAGATCCTTTATTAGAATCTTTAAAGGAACCCTTGAAGATACCCTAAACCCTAAACCCTAAAACCTATGGAATCTCTCTTCAAAGGAGCCCCTAAACCCTATAGATCCCTTGTAGGAACCTCGTAGACCCCCTAAGCCCTAAACCCTAAACCCTAAACCCTAAACCTTACTGTAAACCCTAAACCGTAAACCTAAACCCTAAACCCTAAACCCTAAACCTTACTGTAAACCCCAAACCGTAAGCCTAAACCCTAAACCCTAAACCCTAAACCAAAAGCCCAGGAGGGCCAGGTTGCAGGCGAACGTGTTGGCCTACAGTTCGGCGATCAGCGCCTGTGAGAAGGACCCAGGGACTCCAGGGTTTAGGGTTTAGGGTTGAGGGTGGTAGGGTTTAGGGTTTAGGGTTTAGGGTTTAGGGTTGAGGGTTGAGGGTTTAGGGTTGAGGGTTTAGGGTTGAGGGTGGTACGGTTTAGGGTTTAGGGTTTAGGGTGGTAGGGTTTTGGGGTTTGGGGTTTAGGGTTAGGAATGGGTTTAACGACTCCAAGATCCCTTAATTAAGGAATGGGGTTTAGGGTTTAGGGTACTATACCTGACAGGGCTCCTTAAAGGGATCTATAAGGGTTTTTATAAGGGTACTATAAAAATGATAAGATTTGAGGAGTATACTTAAATCATAGTAGGGATCCTACTATGATTCAAGGTATATTCCTTAATTAAGGGATGTTGGAGTCTCCGGGGACTGGAGCACCGGTTTCGGGTTGAGGGTTTGGGGGTTTAAGGTTTAAAGGCTTTTGGGGTTTAGGGTTTAGGGGTTTAAGGTTTAAAACGTTTTAGGCTTTAGGGGTTTAAGGTTTAGAGGGTTTTAGGGTTTCGGTTGAGGTTAGACTTAAAGGTTCATGGGAGTGAATGGGGTTTTAAACGAGCTCACTATACTTAACTTAAATTGTATCCCGAGTTCAAGCACTTCAGACTGTACTTGCTAAGTCCCACGAACCAGCAAGTAGGGTTTATAGAGTTTGCTGAAGCCCTAAACCCTAAACCCTAACCGGGGCCTCTAAGGGATCTCGAGGAGTCCTATGGGCATTTGGGGGTTTGGTCTCAGGTGTTCGTGCAGGGTTTCAACATTTTCGGGCTTCCAGCTCTTAGAGTTGAGGGTTTTTTGGGCTTGGCACGTTTAGGGTTTTAGGGTTTAGAGTTTAGGGTTCAAGCAGTTTAATTATTAATGCGGGATTTGGGGCTTGGCGCGATTAGGGGTTTAGGGTTTTCACGGTATTAGCGCTTAGAGTTTAGGGTTGAGGTTGAACAGTTTAATTAGGGCGTTTAGGTTTGTTGAAACTGCGAGGTGCATTGTACTTCGGAGGCTGAAAACTAGTGTGTTCAGTGGTATACATTTTTGTGTTTTTATTGTTCTGGCTAAAATTAGATAGCCAGCGCACAAATATCTACTCTGTTTCCGGTGGGTTGTTTAGCAGCCCAGAATCAGAAACCCTGTTAAACGCCATAGACCCCTTGCAAAGCCCTGTTGGGACCCTAAGGAAACCCTTGAATAAACCCTATAGAGGCCCTAAACCCAGAAACCCCTAAACCCTAAACAAGCCTTAATTGAGGGGATATTGGAGTCTCTGGGGAGGCCGGTGAGTGGCGTCAGGCCTTAGCATTGTTGGCGCAGCTGGAGCTGGAGCATTTCGAGGCAGTTGCTCGGATCTGTCAAGAGCTCCCTAAGGTGGTTTAGGGTTTAGGGTTTAGGGTTCAGGGTTTAGGGTATAGGGTTTAGGGTATAGGGTTTAGGGTTTGGGGGATATCCTTACCCAAAGCCCCTAAATCCCTATATAAACCCTAAACCCCTAAACCCAAAACCCCTAAATCCCTAAGCCCTACACCCCTAATTCGGGTGAGGTGTAAGATTCAGGTGGTCTTTATGTCGAAGTTCAGCTCGATAACCGTCAGGGTTAGTCTTAATTCAAAAAGTGGATCCCTTAAGGGGGTTTAGGGTTTAGGGTTTTAGGGCTTTAGGGTTTTAGGGTTTGGGGTTTGCGGTTTAGGGTTTAGGGTTCCTTTGAAGTACCGCTTAGTAATATAGGGTCCCAAATTAGGGGATCTACTTTTTAGATCCTTCCGGGGGGTCTGGCTTCTCATACAACTTCATTATGGCGCTTTCGGTACGGCCTGTATGGGGCTTTCCATAGGATGTGACAGGCCCCTCAGACCCTCCAATATCCCCTGATTAAGACGTACACCTTAAAGCAAATTAGGGTTTAGGGTTTCAGGTTGGGGTTTAGAAGTTTAGGGTTTAGGGTTTAGGGCTCTAGTTTAGGGTTTTGGGTTTAGCATTCAAGCCTTCGCCGTCTTAGCAGGGTCCAACCCCAGGATGTCATTGCTTTCAATGCTGCCATCAGTGCCTGTGAAAAGGCGGTGCAGCGTCAGCAAGCACCTAGGTTGTTCAGTGGTTTAGGGTTTACGGTTTAGGAGCTTAGGAATTAAGGGGTTTAGGGGTTTAGGGTTTAGGGTGTACGGTTGAGGGTTTAGGGGTTTAGGGGTTTAGCGTTTAGGGTTTAGGGGTTCAGTGGTACGGTTTAATGTAGGGGCCCAAATACTTACCTATATTATTTTGGGGGTTCGTAATTATAGTTATTGTACGTTCAAGGCCACTACATTAGGGTCTTGGGTACACGGTATACTTTTTTGAGTTGTTCGTCTCTCGGTTCCCTATGCAAGATACGCATACCTTATTCCCAAAGGGTTAACCGAAACCCTGAACCCAAAGCCCTAAGCCCAAAGCCCTAAACCCTAAACCTATACACTGACTCCTTAACCGAACCCTAAACCCTAAACCCTAAGCCCTAAACCCAAAACCCTAAACCGCCGAGGCATTGCATCTTTTAGATGGCCTTGCAGAGCGAGCTCTCGGCTGGGGAGGAGTTTTTGCGAGGAAAAGAAGCGAGAAGCCCGGAATCTCGGGGTCGGAACCGGGTTCCTTTAAAGGGTTCCGTTAAAGGGTTCCTTTAATGGGTTCCTCTAAAGGGTTTCTTTAGGGGTCTAGGGTTTCGGGGTTTAGAATTTAGGTTTGAGGGCTTTAGGGTTTTAGGGTTTAGGGTTTAGGGTTTAGGGTACAGGCATTCACTCCGACCAGGAAGCCTCAGGCAGCGTGTCCGACACGGAGCAAGTGTTTTTGATGAATGCTAACATCCCGCTTACAGTCCCGGTATAGAATCATGCTAGGACTGCTAGGATATGTCCCAAAAATCTTATTCTATATGTATTCAGGCTCCTATATTCGATGAAGGGTTTCGGGCTGTGAAGTTTAGGCATTGGCCCCGAACGTCCTAAGTTTCTCAAAGCCCACTGCCTCAGCATTAAAGCAACAGACATGCTAAAAGGCCGCAGCGAACCCTTGGAAGCTCTACCGCAAGTAGACGCGATCTTGCCCCTGGAAGAGCCATCTGTGAGGCAGTTCGGCAGTGCGGACCCTTGAAGCAGCATTTGTGCCTCTGGGTGACTCAGAGGGGCTTTGGTGTGGGTCGTGCGTGTCCGATGGGGAGCTTCATTCATGGGAGTTGTCGCTGTAATCCATAATGGAGGTCTTCCAAAGTGTACACATGATGAAGTCGTGACTGTTCTCTGATGTTCTGACGAAGGTCGCTGATGGCTTGTTGGCATGGGGGTTAAGGCTTTCCATGTTGGTCGCTAGTTGATTGGTGCTGCAATGTTGCAGGATCTTCAAAGAACGGCAGTACCAATGTTGAAGCAAGCATCGAAAAGAGCTTGGTGAATAGATTATAGATTATTCCTAGAGTCCTAAACTCTTATGTTTTCAATCACTCAGATGCCTGCATTCGAAGAAGTAGGGGACCCTAGGACGAAGCTTTACGGCCCCGAGGGTGTTCAGGTTTTGCGGCTTTAAGATCATCGTTTTACATGCTTTGCCTCTCCACCCATTTTACATGGTTGGGCACACCTCTCTCTCTCTCTCCACCCCTCTTTGTCTGCCTGCACATAATGTGTATGTACTGTAGTTTGTTGCAAGGGCTTCGGCTGTGACGGACTTTATCGACAGCTGGAAAAACGAAAACCTCCGCATAAATCCTTATAAGACCTGCCTCCCATCCCTTCCAACTTAGGCATGCGAGACTTCCCAAAAACAAAGAACTCTCACACATAAATCGAAATAGCTCAGTCTAAGGACCCCTAGAAGAGCGCCCGACAGCTCCAACAACCACTAGAAAATCCTGCGAAACCCCACATTAACGGGGCCACTGAACCCCAAACCCTAAACCCTAAACCCCAGTCCCTAAAGCAGAAAACCGTAGACCCTTAAACCTTTGGCCCTAAACCCTGGACCCTAAACCCTAAACCCTAAACCCTGAACCCTGGACCCAGGCGCGGCATCTGCGGTCTGCTTCGATTCCGGCAGCGCCTGATCACCAGCGATGGGACAGTGCTGGGCGACGAGGCCGGGATGGTCAGGGGGGGACAAACCCTAAACCCTAAACCTCTAAACCCCTAAACCCTAAACCCTGAACCCCTAAACCCTGAACCCCCCAAACTTCTAAACCCCTAAACCCTGTGCAGGGCCCATAAATGGGATCTTTAAGGGTCCTTTAAAGGGATATTCCGGAATCCTTTACGG